TTAATATTTTTATTTCTAGGGGAGAGAGAGAGAGAGAGAGACAGCGTGAGCTGGGGAGGGTCAGAGAGAGAGGGTGTCACAGACTGAAACAGGCTCCAGGTTCTGAGCTGGCAGTCAGCACAGAGCCCGACGCGGGGCTCGAACCCACAAACCGCGAGATCATGACCTAAGCGAAAGTCGGACGCTTAACCGACTAAGCCACCCAGGCGCCCCCTGAAAAATTTTTTAAACGTTTATTTATTTTTGAGAGACAGAGAGAGACAGAGTGCGAGTCAGTGGGGAGCAGAAAGAGAGGGAGACACAGAATTTGAAGCAGCCTCCAGGCTCTGAGCCGTCAGCACAGAGCCCGATGCAGGGCTCAAACTCACGGACCGCAAGATCATGACCTGAGCCGAAGTCAGCATTCAACCGACTGAGCCACCCAGATGCCCCAAAAAAGAACTGAATTCTTAATTTTATTTAACTTTCATTTAAATAGCCACATGAGGCTAGTGGGTGCTGTACTAAACAGAGCGGTCCTAGTGTTTGCTGATTCTGCTAAGCTCAGCGGATAATGGAGTAGCTGCATAAGACAATGGAAGAACACTTATAGCCTGCCCAGCCCAGCCTCAGAGAGTACAATGGGTAATACCTTACTTGTGATCCATGTGAGGATGGGCTGCTAAAGATGCAAAATGGGATGTGACAAGCCCAAACTGGGCCTTCTTGGTGCCAGGAGCCAGCTCTGTAATGGCTGATCCAAAGATAATATGAGGAGGCCAAGAAAGGCCTCGGAGTTCAGTGTGGCTGTGAGTAGTACGATATCCCATATTGAAAAGAGGAAAGCTGGGGAAAGGAAAATAAAAGAGTCAAGAAACTAACCTGTAGACAACTTCATTTGAAGCTGTTTCATCAAATGCAAAGTCAAAGCAGAAGGCTTGGTTCTCCAGATACTTTGTTAAGTCCACTTTTAACTTGGGCTCATGGACCAAGAGGAAACATTTGCTGGGAATGGAAATCACATCAATTTCTTTCTTGGCCAATTCTGCAGAAGAAGAGTATTTCAGGGGATGATCCCTGGACATGGAGAATGTCGGTCAGTCAAAAGCCTCCTTCTGACTGATCAGGGCTTACCTTGTTTATTTAGCGGGCGTTTCCTCACACAGACACATATCCTGTGCTCTTCGATCTTCAAAAAGATGAGCGAAGACAACCAACCACAAAAAGGTCAGAGCAATACTGAAAGAACTCTTCCTCTTCCAATCCCATGTCTGGTTCACTCAGGGGTCAAGACCTAACACTGGGACCCCACCTCCACCATTAGTTACTCTAGAGCACAGGCAGCATTTCCTTCCCAGTTTTCTCACCCTGCTGCCTATAGCTTTCAGTGCTACTTCCATGATTATTAGTAAGGATCTAGCCACCTTATGGAAGTGAGGAGGGTGAGAGTTTATGCAGCTCAGACTCTCCCATCCAGCCTCACTAGCCCCAGCCCACCAAAGGGTATTAAAAATATCCTCAAGGGTAAGTGGAGATTCTTGCAGGCTCTCACATCCCTAAAGAGATCTGTCTCTCAATTGTATACCTACTCAGGAAGGAGAGGTAGAAGCCCTTTGGGTTTACTTACAGGATCAGTCATAGTAAGTGGATGACATTCCAAAGTAGCCCGAAATTCTTTAATCATCCGGGCAAATTCCCAGTTTGGAAAGCTGCTGTCATATTCCTGTTTGGAACAAGGGCAAAAAAGGACTGGCTGGTGACAGGTAAATGCTCTCAGAGCTCAGTGCTAAAGCAGCAACAATAGGTCTTTATATGCACATAGCCCTTCAGCTGACAAAGCCCTCCCACTTCTCACTTCCTCCCACCCTGGCTGTAGGCTGAGAACTCAGGAGCAAAAGCCCTGGGAACAGAGACTGGTGGTAGGGAGTGGGAGGGTGGTAGGCGTGCATCCAACCACTCTAGGAACTAGGATGAGGGCCACTGTCTCCTTCCTAGGAGACCAGCAGGTTGAGATTCCCTGGAGCAATTAACCCAATTGAAGGAAAGTGCTCCAAAGTGGGACTTTACTGCAAATCCTCTCTCCCCCCCAACACACACAATTAGGAGGTAGGGGTTGGGGGGAAAGCAGGCAGCTCTGCCTAGCAGCTCCGTTGGCCACTGCACTGTGATGGGTGTGCCTACTGGATGATTAGCATGAAATATTCCCCACCTAAGGGACTTCAGAAAAATATCTGATTTGTTCTCTGAATCCTGTTGAAAAACCTGTTAAACTTCCTGGATATCAGAACTGGAGCCTGAGAAATGCTTGGGTCCAACTGTATCTCTGCTGCTGGTAAGGTTGCAATTAAGAATGCCTGTCCAAAAACCTTTGACCTAAGAAAAGTACCTGAGCTCGCTTTATTCTCATTTCAGAGTTCTGGGCCCTCTTCTCTTCTCGCTTGTTCTTCATTTTTTCCATTTCCTTCACAATACATGATTTCCTCCGAACTGCGGTGGCGGGGGAAGAAAGCCTGCTTTTACCTGTCTAGGCCAGCCAGCCTACTCTTCTCCAGCTCTCCTGAGTCATGGGCCTTTCCCAGGACTAGGCCTTGCCTAGACCCTTGCTCTTAAACCACCGTATGCAAGGAGAGGAAGCAACGGATAGGACTCTTGGGATGGCCAAGCCTGCAAAGTAAAGACCTGCACAAGCACTCTAGGCCCAACCCAAGTTCTCTCCATGCCTCTGTGGCATCTTCTCAACAACCACAAGAGGTGATACCATCCCTGATTGATCTTGATGGGCATTCTGAGCTTTTCTTCAGGTGTTAGCCAAGACCTGAGCTATGGCAACACCTCAACTGAGAGGGCTCCGGCCAGCTGGTGGGGAACAGGGTCACCTCTTGTGAAAGACTGCTTCAGGGGCACCTGGGTGGCTCAGTTGGTTAAGCATCAACTTTGGCTCAGGTCATGATCTCACAGTTTGCGAGTTCGAGTCCCACATTGGGCTCTGTGCTGATACCTCAGAGCTTGGAGCCTGCTTCAGATTCCGTGTCTCCCTCTCTCTCTGCCCCTCCCCTGCTCATGCTCTGTCTCTGTTTCTTAATAATAAATAAAAGTTAAAAAAAAAAAAAAAAAAAAGACTGCTGCAATGGCCACAGGAAAACATGCCCCCATGTGACAAACATGGTTTGAACTCAGGTGCCAAAGCAGGCCAGGTTTGGGACAGGATATAACAGCCTGTCCTGCACTAGGAGCAGGGCATCAGACAGCTCAACTCATCTACCTGAGTTCACAGGGTTTGTAGAAGAGCTGCCTCGGATGGAATGGACTTGCTCTTCTACCTCCTCGCTGACCATCGTCAATGGTATTTCAGCCACTGCAGGGCAGGAGGGCCTAGGGGGTCCAGCTGTCAGGGAACAAGAGTCATTGGAGAAGCAGGCAGGCATACCAGAGCTGTGCTCCTCTGAGCCCCAACAGGTCATGGGCCAGGAGGAGTGTAATTGATTGCTAGCATAGCAAGGCCTCAGGCTCCCACAGTGTGAGCAGAGCTTGGGCTTTTCCCTTCACTTCAGCCCAAACCCTGAAGCCAACCAGTCTCTACAGGGGCTGGCTCCTGGGATCAAAGGTCTTATAGGGTAGGGCATCTGGCTGGCTCAGTTGGTAGAGCATGTGACTCTTCATCTCAGGGTTTGGTATAGAGATTACTTAAAAATAAAATCTTTAAGTAAAAAAGAATACGTATCTTAGAGGGTGAGTAGCTCAGCATGGACTTCGCCACAAAGGGAAAGCCTCTAAAGGCCTAAAGACTTTAGGCTTGATCCAAGCTTGGGTTCTCAGGCTAGGGCTTTCTACTTATTTGGGAAAAAAAGCCAGACTTCCAAGCCTTGGAACCTGGGTTAACAGGGACAAAGACTGAAAGGCCAGGACTAAGAGGAACGTGAGCAACAACATATTGATTCAACCCCAGAAAGGTACAGTCCATGACAACTCACTACTTCTCATACCTGGTTGTGACTCTTTTGTTTACATTCATTCTATTAGAGCCAAATTTGATACATGTAAGATGTAATGATTGTATATCTTACACAATCCGTATCTGCTTTATCTAGTAAAAGTTAACAAATAAAAATATTTTTCAAATTCTATTTATACAAACTCCAAAAAGGAAAAAAGCTAATTTATGGTATCAGAAGTCAAGATTATCAGTACCGTTAGGGGTTTATGAACCGGAAGAGAGCTTGAGGGGGACTTTTGGGTTGCTCATAATGCTTTGATTGATCTGGGTGTGAGTTACGTGAGTGTGTTCCGTTTGTGAATGATACTCAATGATATGGTTGCTTTTCTGGGTGTGTATGTGCATAATGTTTCAATAAAATTAAAAGAATAAAATTAAAATGATTTCCAAATAATGGAGGATGGGGTGGGGGCAGATAGAATTGAAGCCAGGGGAGTATAGGAATCTCAGGATATTTCAGAACAGGGACAGGGCAATATACGTGGAGTTGCTGCAGAGCCTCAAACAGGAAAAACAAATTCATTACTCACTGGAAACTGAAAACTGCTTGCGGGAATTTGTAGACGCTGGTACCTCCACCTCCATATCATTCTCCTGACTGGTAATTCGAACCTCTGAGACAGTGGACATTCGGGTGGAGCGGCCTCGGAGACCTGAAGAACCAAGGGCAGCAACCAGTCAGTGCAGTATGATCAGGAGGGCCACTGGGGGCCTCTAGGGGGCAACCCTCGAAGATTCTGTATAAGGTGGGATGGGTCCAGATCACCAGGAAAACAGCCCAACTTCCCACTCCTGCCACCCAAGGAAAGGAAAAGTTAGAAAGGCCAAGTACTAGTGACCCCATTCTGTCAATGTGAGAGCTCGCAAGGGCAAGGATGTCTCCCACAAGAGCATCTGTTCTGAGTAAATGGAGAGATCTACAGTCAATCTGAAATCCTTTCTGAAGAGACAGACCTAATCCCTGGAAAAAAGCAAATTTAACCTTAACAGCAGCAACACCTACCATTGTACAATCTTCCCATACTCCAAAACAACACTATAAGGTAAATATCAGTATTCCCATCTGATGGAAGGGGGCAATAAGGCTCAGAGAAATTAAGCAACTTGCACATTGTAGTAAGTGTTGGAGCCAGGATGTGAACCTAAGACTGTTAGATTCCAAAGTCTGGGCTTTTCCCACTGCTCCAGGATGCTTTATAGAGCCAGACCTGGGCCACATCATCAGAAACACGTGGGTCAGCTACATTGATTTTCTGGAACCTTAAAAGAATGCTTAACTACAAGAAACAATTGAGTTATACTTGAATTCTTGTTCATTTCTACCCATTTATATAGTTCCCCTCCATCACCTATAAAGCAAGTCAGCAATTTGGAAATAGAACACATGGTATGGGGCGCCTAGGTGGCTCAGTCAGTTAAGTCCAACTTTGGTTCAGGTCATGATATCATAGTTTGTGAGTTCGAGCCCCACATTGGGCTCTGCTGTCAGCATAGCGCCTGCTTCAAATCCTCTGTCCCCTCCTCTCTCTGCTCCCCCACTTACCCCCACGCATTCTCTTTTTTAAATAAACTTAAAAAAAAAAACACACACGGTATAATATAGGCAAACATCAACTTGTACTAAATTTCTGAGTCTCCTAAGTTTAGGCTGATCTGATAGCTCTGTATAATCCATGTCTTCATTAAGAGCATAAATTATTATAATTTTCCTTTTCCCAAAGGATTTGTGAGGACATGCATATGAAGTAAGACCATTCCCATTTCTCTTGCAGGTCCTTACAGTACAGCTAGTAAGAGGGCCAGCACCACACCATTCAGACCCAGCCCGAGCTTGCAATCCCACCACCTTCCACCTGGGCTCCCCAAATCCTGAAACTCCAGCCAAGTAGTTTCTGGGCTCTTGTGGTAGCTGTGGGCAGTGATAACCCCTGGCTGGTGATAGGCCATGCAGACTGCAAGGTATAGCTGGCTCTGAGTAATAAGTTGGATTTCTTGGGCAGTTTGCACCTACAGCCACCCCACCCCCTATAGTCACAGACTGTTATAGTTAGAGTAGGTTTACACTGATTACTTTTGCAGAGAAAGTCCAACCTTCTCCTAGACTTCAAGGCAATATGATTATTCTACTCATCCCACCCCACCCCCAGATCTCCCTAGCACCATTGAATATACTTCTAAACAGCTGAGACCTAGCTTTTCCTACAGCCTGCTCACTACCTCACTCCAAGGCACACTGTTCCCTTGAGGAAAGAAAAACAAGCACATTAGTGGCTGATTATTGCTCTGGATTCTACAGGAAAAACTTTTAGGCCATTTGGCAAATTTCTCAAATGCACCAGGCTCCTGAGAAGTTGGCCTAAGGGCTGTAGGCTGGATTTTTCTTTTTATTTATTATTGTTATTTTTTTAATGTTTATTTATTTTTGAAAGAGAGAGACAGAGACAGAACACAAGCAGGGGAGGGGCACAGAGAGGGAGACATAAAATCCAAAGGAGGTTCCAGGTTCCGAGCTGTGAATACAGAGCCTGACATGTGGGGCTTGAACTCGCGAGGTATGAAATCATGACCTGAGCTGAAGTCAGATTCTCAGCTGACTAAGCCAATCAGGCACCCCTGGATTTTTTTTTTTTTAAGCACTTTATTGATGGGCCACCTGAGTGGCTTAGTCAGTTAACCGTCTGACTTTTGGTTTCGGTTCAGATCATGATCTTTGGGTTTCATGAATTCCGGCCCCGCGCCTGGCTCTGCACTGATGGTATGGGGCTGCTTGGGATTCTCCCTCTCTCTGCCCCTCCCCTGCTCACACCGTCTCTATTTCTCCTATTTCTCTCAAAATAAATAAATAAACTTAAAAATTAAAAAAAAAAGCACTTCACTGAAGTATGACTGAAATACCAAAAGCTGTAGATATTTAGTGTGTTTAACTCGATGTATCTGGAGAGAAGTAAACACCCAAGAAACTATCATTATAATCAATGCTATAAACTTACCCATCACTTCCTAAGGTTTGTTCCTACTCTCTTTGTTTTGTATTTTGTTTATTTTTGTTTTATGGTTAGGGTACTTATTATAAGATCCACCCTCATAGTAAAATTTTAAGTATACAATACAGTGTTGTTCATCACAGCTAGATGTTGTACATTACGTCTCCAGAACTTACTTTTTTCTCATAACTGAAACTTTGTACCTTTTGACTAAAATCTATTTCTCCCTCCCTGTAGGTTAGATTCTTCCTTATTAAGATACTTAGAAGACAGAGCATGACTCAGCTCACATAGAGCCACATGCTAAAGTAGAGCAATGAGTCTATTTCACAGCTTGTTGTGCCCCAGGAATATTATGCTCAAACCCCATGATGATAGGCCAGTAAAAATCCATTTACCTTCCTTAGGAGCAGGAATTTTGGAGTTTACTGATCTGCGTTTTTGTTTCTGAAAAATAAAAACAAAAACATCATAATATATGGTTCCTATCAATTTTCAAGGACCTATCTTAGGTCTGTGTGTTATGCGGAAATCCTAGGCAGTTCCAGAAAATCATCAAAAGCCAACAAGCCAAGCATATCATCTGGGGCACTGGCTCAGACACATGACAAGCACCTACCTGGACCGTTACGTTCTCCTGCAGGGGCAGATTGTCTTTTGGGTGTAAGGGAAGAAGTTGTAAAAGCTCTGGGTTTATTGCGGCCACATCATCAAAATCAATCTGCAAAGAGCAAGTAAAAAGTTTCATCGGAACAACATAGCTTCTTCAACCCAAGTGCATCCCTGTAACCAATGCTACCCCTAGATTCAGACTTTACCAACTTTAAGTTTCACCACATACCAACAACTATAAACACATAGCCCTTAGTCCTGCTTTACCATCTAGATGAATGTTGGTTTCTGATTGCCAAGCCAATGGTAGATGTCGGTGATGAGAATGAGGTAAAGAGGAGGACAGACAGACAGGCAAACAGTCAGGTAGTCCACAGTAGATCTAGGCCACTTAGTTCCCCTACTGTTCTGCTGGGTAGTGGGGTCTTGCTGGGCACAGTGCCCTGAGCACCTCTTGCTGGATGACACAGAGGAGGAAACAAGTTCTAACTGTCCCGGTGATAGTCAAAATGGAAGGCCCTTCAGGATCTTATGGGTAGGGACAAGTTCCCGAGAGCTGCTACCTAACCCTAAGTCTACCTACATTTTCTACTGGGCCCAGAAACTTCTTCCCCAGTAATAACTTCCTGCTCATGCCTGCAATTGAGGTCACAATTCTAGGTTTACATCACTAGAGCCCTCCAGGAGCAACTCAAACTTCATCAGCGTACTTCACAGCACTTCAAACACACCAAAATAGTACCAACCAATTTTGAAAGGTTTCAGAGCTCAAGCATGTACCGCAGAGTAAAAGCTTTATGTCCTACATATGCAACCTATACGTATTAATTAGGTTATTTAAACATTCATTAGGCATAATTAAGGCAATAGAAGGAAGGTATTCAAAGATGAATTAAGGCATATATACTGCCCTTGCCTTCAGTTAGCTCCTATTTTTTCTTTTTTGTTTGTATATGTATGTATGTATGTATGTATGTATATATTCATTCATTCATTCATTTAGAGAGCTCACAGAAGGGGCAAAGAGAGAGAATCCCAAGCAGGCTCTGCACCATAGGGCAGAGCCAGACATGGGGCTTGAACTCACAAACAGCAAGATCATGACCTGAGCCAAAGCTGGATGCTTAAACGACTGAGCCACCCAGATGTCCCCAGTTAGCTCATATTCTAACGGAAAAGTCATATGCACAGAAGGCTAGAAACCAAACCAGCACAGGATAGAATTATCAAAGGACAGAATTACCAAAAGCAAAAGCTGGCAAGTACTTTAATAACCACACTTTTGTCCCCGTTTCTTGGACAGCTATAGACCCTTACTACACATTCCTCCCATTTCCTATACTTCAACCATAGAAAACAGACAATATAGATCAGTATTCTAACCGTAGTTCTGACATCAACTCTCACACTGATGATTCAGGGCAAACATCCCAGGGGGAAGGCGTAAAAAGAGTGACTGTGTGAAGGCAGCAAGGCAGTAGGCATGGCCACAGAGTGGGGACCTGATGCATTTGACCCTGACACAGCATACTTTGGAAGAGTGTGTGGTACAAAGAAAAAAGTCGACTGGGTCATATCCTGAAAAGGCCTTGAATGCCTCACGAAGAAGTTTAGACCTTATTCCAAACACCGTATCTGAGCTGGTATGAGACCCAACAAGAACTATATTTGTAAACAAACAACAAAAATCAGCATACAAAAATCACAAGGAACTACTAATAGCTGGTTGAAGAGAATTTTAGGAATCTCTTGATTTAAAAGCAGATAGTGTAAAGTATTCAATCCTTTTATTTCTAAAACATACCACTAAATATCTGCTTACCTACCATAAGGCACTATGCTAGGCAAGTCCTTTACATGTGTTATTTCATTAAGTTCCATGAAAGAGGGTCCAGGTCTGTCTTATTCACTGCAGTATCCTGTCTGGCATTTTGGAACCAGTACCAAAGTATCTGCTGGATAAATCCTCATAAAAACCGTATTAAGCAGATATCATTATCATCCTCATTCTTTTGGTAAGGAAACTGAATTTCTTTTTTTTTTTTAATTTATTTATTTTATAGGAGAGAGACAGAGACAGCGTGAACAGGGGAGGGTCAGAGAGAGAGGGAGTCACAGACTGAAACAGGCTCCAGGCTCTGAGCTGGCAGTCAGCACAGAGCCCAACGCGGGGCTCGAACCCACGAACTGCGAGATCATGACCTAAGCGAAAGTCGGTCGCTCAACCAACTAAGCCACCCAGGCGCCCCAGGAAACTGAATTTCTAAGAGTTGGAAGCATGCCTGAAAACACAAAATAGCAGCAGAGCCAGAATAGAATCCAGGTTTTCATACTCCTAGCCCAGTGAACTTTTTACCACACCACAATGCCTCTAAAACATAAATGCCTTAGTCACACCTCTCCTCTTCTCAAAATCTTCCCCAAGGCTCCTCAGTACCTACAGAACAAAATCTTAAATATCTTAGTGCCAGAGATGATAACCCTCTGGTCCCCTTTTTCAACTGTCCAGCATCTTGAGCCTTCCACTGCCTGGAGCAAGCTTCTTCACTAGTCCCGATGAAGGCCATTTCACTAGTGTTTTCTGCTACACCTTCCCACCACGCCCCTACCAGTCAAGCTCATCCTCAATGAGTTACCACCTCTGAGCTGCTCAAGCACTATTCATCTGTGCCATTTATAACAAGTTGCCTTCTGTTATCTGGGGTTTCAGAAACATACTTTTGTCTCAACTGGGTTGTTAGTTTTGCTTCCCAAACCGATATTGTGGGTAGCTTGCACTCAGAAACTAGCATAGGTAAGCAAGGTTTTAGGATTCTGTGCAGTTTGTCTTCTACAAACACACCAGAAACTATCGATTGCTTCAATTTAGATCAGGCCCAACTAAATAAAATCCTAATGCATCCAAAGAGGACCATGTTCAAGATTAGGGAGGACAAGGCAGCATCAGAAACAAGGCTCTCGCAAGTTCCATTTCCACACACAGCTTTTCCTTTGTTTGTTTTTAAAGTAGTCTCTCCGCCCAATGTGAGGCTTGAAATCAGGACCCCGAGTCGCATGCACTACCAACTGAGCCAGCTAGATACCTCTTCACACAGATCTTTTAGGGAGGAAGGTGTTAAATGTGGTAGAGGCATTTTCACAGAACTTACCTCTTTGCCCTTTGTAGCACCTCCTTCTGTCCATTCCACTGAAACACAGGATTTCTCCAAGTTCACAGTCCTTACATTAGCACTGTGAATTATGCCTAGAGTATAAAAAGTCCAGAATTTACCCATCTTTTTCACTTTTAGGATCCCACAGAGATCTCAACGTGGAATTAACCTGAAGGAAGGAACAGCTGCCTTTTTCTTTCTTTTAACGCTAGGAAATAAATACAACTCCTGGCTTTTGAAAGATTCAGCTCCTCACCTTTAGAACATCCCAGGTGAGGTAGGCAGGGAACAGGTCTTAAAACTGAGCTGCAGGATTCATTCCTACTCAAAAGAGGGCCTACAGTGAGGTGAAGGTATGTCTGGGCAGGGGAGTCACTCTAGTCCTTAGGTACTGTTCCTCAACTCACACGGCGCTCTAGCGCCCTTGGGTTTCCCCACCAGACGGTTATGTCTGACCATTCTCCTAATGACAGGGTATTACACCTGCCAGAGATTTGGTAGCTACTTAACCAAAAAAGAGCAGAGTTGCAAGCTCCTGAAAAGCAGGGATCTTTTCTGATTAACCCTGAATCTCAGTGCCTGACATACTGAAAGTGCAGAATATTTAGAGGAGAGTAAAGGGGCCAGGAAGCCGCGGTCCCTACAAGAGCATGGCAGTTTCAGCGGAGAACTCTGGAAGTGAAGTGCATCTAGCAGCCCTAATTTTCCTGGGAGGTCCTCTGACAGGGAGGAGCCCCGCCCACTTCCGAGGATGGGAAGGGGACTTACAGCCAGCACAGAGGCCCCTGCACCTGGGTAGAATAGACGCAATGCTAGTGCAGAGACCCAGACCAGGTGGAAGCGGGGGAATCCCTAACAGCATCTCGGCCCTGCCATTTGGGGAGGAGCAGTAATTTCAGCCACCTCACAGCCCACCGGTCCTTGGCCTCGCGACCCCGCCCCTCACCATTACTGCGTTGGATCTTGATGGGGAGACCGGGAAACAGGCGAGCCTGAAGCGACGAGTCCATGGGCAGTCGCGGGGAAAAGAAACGCGAAACACAACCAACCACAGTTCTGCTAATCCTACACAGTCTTAACGCCGCGCAAACCGCCGCAGTTTAAATCCCGCGCGCCAGCGTCCCTGAGAACGTCATCACGCTGTCGCCAGCCTCGCTGCCGCTAGTCCGCGGCGTCCTCCGCAGCCTTTTGGGATATGTAGTCTCCGGTCGGTTTTGTGAGCCTAGGACCGCCCACCTATCTGGCCACACCCCTGCGCGCTGGGGCTCCTGGGAGCTTGGCCAGCACGCGGGCCTGGAGGTTTCTTCTTCCTGGCCTTTTGCGGAAAACGTGCTGTGCTACTGGCCTCCCCAAAACTGAGAAACTGCAGTGTGGTGTTTGAGACCGAGTACTGCGGGGTTCCTACAGACGTGGGTTCCAATCCCGACTTATTCAGTCACTAGCTCAGTGACCTTGGGCAGGTTAGAAACTGGACTCGATTTCCTCTGCACAGTGAGGAGCCTGCTTTTTCCCTCACGGAGTTATTGCGAAGTTTAAATGAGGAACTATGTTTCAAGTGCCTAGGAGACACAGATTACCTGGATATTTATTGTCTACCACGTAGTAGGCATGGTACCTGGGTGGTAAAGATAATAGTGAACGAGGCATAATTCTTGCCCTTCCTGACCTAACATTTCTAACATGAACAGGGGACACAAAGAAGTAACAAATAAATTAGGAATTGTGGTAGGTGCTCTGAGGGAAACTAAGAGCTGAGATAGAAAATAATGGAGGAACTTACTTTAGATAAAGTGGACAGGGAAGAAATCTTTGAAGTGATACTTAACCCAAGTCTAGAGAACAAGAAGGAACATCAAAATGGAGGGCAGGATGGTGGGGAGCCTCCTAGACTAAGATCTAAGAATGCTGTGTAAGGCCTGCGGCAGTAAATAACTTGATCTTGTTTGAAGAACTGAAAGAAGCTAGTGTGGTTGGAAAGCAAGAGGAGAAGGGTAGTGGGGTGAGAACATGTAGCATCTTCTAGCCCATAGTAATAATTTTGACTTTTATTCTAATGAGAAGTCATTAAATAATTTTAAGCAGAGGAGTGACAAGATCTGAGTTAACATTTGATTTGACTGATGTTATCAGACTTGATGTATGGAGAACTGATTGAAGGGGGAAAGACTGGGAGTGGGATGGATCATTTAGTAGGCAAGGATTATGCTGGCCTAGGTTGGGGTAGTGATAATGGAAATGTAACCAAGAGACTGACTTACAGTTTGGGAGATGGAATGAATGGGTCTCGCTGAAGGGCTGGATATGGGGGTAAAGGAGAAGGGGTAATCATGCCTGATTGCTGGTTTTTGGCTAGAGCAATTGGGTAGATAGATGATGAACTATTTCCTGAAGTAGGGGAGTCGAGTTGTGAAGGAAACAGGTAGGGGGGTAAGTCAAGGGTTTCATTTT